ATGACACTGAGCTGAGTAACCCAAGGGGCACTTGTAAGGTGGCTGCTGCAGAGTGCTAAAGTGCAAGGAAACAGACGCCCAGAGATTAAGTAGAGAGCCAATGGTGACACAAGGGGATGATACTCCGAAGCACTGCAATCAAAATAGAAGGTTTTGCAGCAAGAGAAATAGGGTAGAATGTCCAGCATAGGGACTATAGTCAATAACACTGTGCTTATTTGAAAGTTACTAAGAGAATGGCTCCTGAAAGTTCTCATCACAAGAATAAAACTTAGGCAACTATGTATGGAACAAATGTTAACCATATAGCCACACATACACAAAGATTGAATCATTATGTTATACATCTGACACTAAAAATATTTTGTTAATTACGCCTCAATTTTTTATAAATAAATTCCATTCCTATTTGTTCAGCTACCAGGGGAAGGTAATCCTAATCTTGTTTCTTTTTTGTTGTATCAACAGACAAGTTACTTGTTGGCCGAATATATGACAGCAACCCCATATAGAGCATAATTTATCTCTTGACAATATAATACAGACTTAAGAATTTTTCCCTTGTTATTGATATTTTAAGAATAAAAAGCACATAGAGCAAGACACTGCAGTGACTGTACTTAACACAAGGTTGTTTTGGTTGCTGCTTTGTCCTTTTTATTCTCTGATCACTTTATTTTTCTTGGTTTTAAAATTTTCAAATCTACAGAAAAGTTGAAAAAATAGCACAATGGTACATTATAAATCCTCACCTCAATTCATCAATAGTGACATGTGTTGTGTCTGCGTCTTCTCAAGCTCTGTACACATACGGACGACCTAGTGTTGACTGAGCCATAGGGTGTGAGTCACAGACATCAAGACATCTCCCCATTAAATCCCTCAGTCCTCAAAATAGCCTTTTAAACTTTTAATTAAAATATCCACCTTAGGGGACCTCCCTGGTGGTGCAAGGGGTTAAGTCTCAGCACTATGAAGCTATCCGCAGCTACTGCAGCAGGAGTTTGATCCCCAGCCAGGGAGCTACCCACATGGCACAGCAGACCTCTCCTGTCTCGCTTGCTGCTCTCCTCAGCAGTATATTTCAGTAGATCTGCCTGTTCTGCTCCCCACTCTCTCTCCGGTGAATCCTCTCACACCCCCAGCTCCTGCACCTCTGGCCTACACCCCAGCTCTTGAATGCATAAATAAATAAATGTTAAAAAAAATCCAACTTAATGTCAAATGTTGATGTCCAAATCCCCAAAGTGAAGCATTCGGAGGTGGGCTTAGTGGGTAGATTTACAAGCAGTTGGGAGGGTAGATCCCTCGTGAGGACACAAAAGCCCCAAAAGAGGAAAAGACCAGAGTGCCCACACTTCCTACCACACAGAGATACAGCAAGAAGGTATCTGTCTAAAAACCAGGAAGAGTATCCTCATCAGAAACCAACTCCGCCAGCACCCTGCTCTCTCTCTCCCAGCCTCCAAACTGTGAACCCCCCAGACTATGATATTCTGTTATAGCAGCCTGAGCAGACTAAGATAAACATCTATGATTTATTATCATTCTTTGCTTTAATCTCAAATTGCCCCAAATTTGGCACTTGAAGCTTTTTTGTGTGTCCTCTGTGCCACAGGCCATTTTCTTTTTTTTTTTCCTGACTCCAGATGTTCTAAGACTTTATCTGCCCCAAATTTGGAGACCATCTTTCAAACATTCCTGATGCTGAGGAAATGGCCAAGCGCGCAATGCGGGCTCATTATTGTGGCTCTTTCAGAGGACACAGCCAGGGCTGGGAGTGGGCGGGGAGCAAAGGGTAGCGGCCATGGAAGAGAGAAAATACACATGCACGTTCACACAAACAGCTCCAGTGCAAAACCAGGGACACAGAGCTCCTTCCCCACCTTGTCTCCCCTTCTCCCATAGCGAGCAGCCTGATTTACAATAACATTTATAAATTCAGTCATCTTTTTAAACCCACAAAATTGTTTCAGAATTACTGATTTAGTCCAGGAACATTTTCCTCTTTAAGCACTTGAGCATCAGAATGACCAAATTATCCCACATTATCCTGCAGATAGAACCAGGCCGGCAGGCTCCTGGACAGCAACCCGAGTTACTGCAGACTGTGTTCCGTCGAGACTTGAACTGGACACACAGCCACGGTGGCTGTCAGGTCTCTCGAGCTCTGAAAGGGACGACATTCGGAGCAGATGACAGATGGCCTCCCTCCCAACCTACTGAAGGCTGTTTAAGTTGTTTTCCCTTCCCAGATCCATCCTGGTTTGCATCTGGCGTTTATTTCAAAATAACCCCAGTTTGCAGATGGGGGTGGGAGGAAGCAGAAAAAAGCTAGAGGTATCGGTGCTCACAGGTGGACACGGTGCTGGTTGGGAGAAGCATGTTCTTTGTGCTACTTATGCTCTCAGCTTTTTGGATAGTTAAGACTGTTCATAATATAAAGGATTTTTTTTTTTAAATGTATTCCTGACAAATCAGAAGCAGCACAAGTTTAAGCGGGGAGTCCCAGCTCAAATAAAAGGCACCTAAGATGGGACTCGATTATGTGCACAGAGGAAACACTGGTGACCCTCCAGTGGACCTGGCTGAGGGTAACCTTTTTTTTCCCCCCTATTTGCCTACTTAAGATTCCAGGAACTTAATTGTACAGATAGATTATCCCCCAACAAACAGCTTGAACAACTGTGAAAGGAGTAACTCTAATCTGCTGATCATCTGGCTAAAGAGCTTTGTCCTTGGAGGGAGACTGAGTGGTTTAAGTTCCCCGCATGGCCCAACGTGAAGCCCCCAGGGACCGCAGAACCTGGCATCTGCCGTGGCTAGATCTGCTGGGAGGCAAGGCATGACCCGCTGTGAGACGTGGGGAGGGACACGAGAGCCAAAAACTTGCAAAATCTGATTATGCAAAAGACAGATACAGGAAACATGACCAAGCTCTGCACTGTGGAGTTTTGGAGGGAACATCAACATGTGAAAAACTGTCCAGGGAAGAGGGAAACTGAACTCTGATGAGACTTGCTGTTTGGAAAAGCATCAAAAAGAAACAAAAATGACATCGGGAATGATGACTCTTCTAACCAGTACAGCTGTTTCCCGTATTCTATCTTGGCATAAACAGTAATCAAATAAGATAATAAACAACTATGATACCACAAAAACAAGGGGAGGAAGGTGCTTGACCTCTGACTTCCCTCTTTCTGGAGGGCAACATGACTGGGAGGAGCTGCTTCTTGGCCATCAAATTGACTGATCACTGCCCAAAAGGAGCTGGTTTCACAGGTCACGCACTGATCCAAAAACATGTTTTCCCCAATGAGAGGCTTCCCGGGTCAGAAGATAGATAACCACTCCCACTAATGTACAGTGTAGGAGCTGCATTTCAGTGAAAGTGGTCATGCTCCCAGATGAGAAAGAATCTGCAAAGTAGGGGCCAAAGAACCTGGTTGTGCTTGGAAACAGGTCACAGTAAGAACTACCTTCTTTGCACATCTTAGCAAGGAAAAATACATGACATGATGTATTCTAACCAAGGATGCTTTGCTAATTCAGTGCTCAAATTAGAGCTAGATGACACAAGAACAGCCACTTTCAAAAGCTGAACTTCTGTTCTTTTAGGAGAAAACAAATGCTTAGCACTGGACACAGTACACATCTGAGATATTTAAAAAGTAAAATTCTAGGTATGGCATCTTGGTGCTGCCCTCATCTTACCAGACTGGGCCGGGAGAGAAGACAGATCTAGGTGGCTCAAAGGCAAATCCGACCTGGCAGCAGGAAGAGCTGCCCTCTCCAAGAACTAAATTTCTAGAATGTATTAGCTACCTTTTCTTAAAAATTAAAAAAAAAAAAAAATCCCTACTTTATTCTAGTTTCAGAACAGAAGAGTGTTAAGATTAGGATATAGATAAGGCAGGCCCCAAGATCCTCCCTGTGCCAAAAATTCTGGACTACTTGTAAATCAGGAAGAGAAAAACAGGTCCACAAGGGGGTAAGGCTGGAGGGTTGGAGTTGTCAAAAATCATTTCAGATGAAATTTTGTCAACGGCTATTCATTTATGTCAGCCAAGTTCTAAAACACAATAAAGCCAAATGGTATCTGAAAGTATCAGCAACAATCACCCCTGTTTTAGGAAGTCCCCAAGATGCCAAGTGGCTGGGCACAAGTCTAACCCTGTGTGCAGGGCAGGCTGCACCGCCCTGGGAGTGGACTTCCAGAGGCAGGACAAGAAGTCAGCTCCAGGGCTCCGAGCTGCATGAACACAAGGTCACCACTTGCACTAAAAATTCAGAGGCCAACTGTAGAGAAGATTTGCAAAAACGGTCTGAGTGGAGCCTCAGCATCAGTTTGGAATGCTAGGAAGATCTGGTACTTGCACTCTCCATCCTGATGTCTGAACTCCTAAAGAATCTTCGAAAAAGAAGGGATGTGGTGGAGAAACAGCAGTTGCTCAGAAACGTAAAACATCCACGTTCCGTGTCCTCATGCATCACAGATGTGGTCGGCTGCAAGCAGACCCTCCTGCCCGTCAGCAGTGCTGGAGGAGTCCCGAGGTAAGGATGAGGGTGACTGTGCAGCAGCAAGGGCTTTAAAATTCGTTTCCTTCAGGTGCCACTGGCAATAAAATGGACAAACCAATTGGACTATGGAGAACCATGAAAAATGGCAACTCACAGAAATTTTTCCCTGGACTTTATATTGAAATGTTAACTCGCTTTGAAATGAGGCAATATGTTAAGGAAAGGATTACTTACATATCCACAGCCTCTTAAAAACAGAGTGTAGGTAACAGTATCAAGACTGACAGGCGATCAATTGTGTGCGTGGCTGACCTTCGCTCCTGCCCGCTGCGAGCTGTCGTGTTTCCCTTCTGCTGATGAATGACAAATGCGACCGGTCCAGGATGCCATCTCTCCTGCTCATGTGAGCAGGCCTGCATGCTCTGTATTCTGCCTACCCTGGGCCCCAGCCTTCCATTTATAGAGAATTAGGTGGTGTGTCTGTTGAAATAAATACGACTCCTTGAGTGTTTTGAGAAGATGTGAGCCAAAGGCAGTTCAGACGCTTTCACCTAATATTTATCAATCACAAGCAGAATCCTTGGGAATAGCATATCCAGTTACAGAACTTTATTTTTAAACCAATTTTAGGTACCCAAAGGTCAAAGTTCACAAAACAAAAAGAGAACACAAACAGCGATAGTTGTCTACATGCTGCTAATCCTAGCAGCCAAAGGAGAATCCTACCGAAAGTCACACGCACGAGTCTCTGGACAAGAGCCCGAGCAAAGGGCCTTGTTTGCTGCTGGCTGTCAAGGAACCCACCTGTGACTGACCCCCTTTAGGGCCTCCGGTCTTAACTAGTGAAGCATCCCTTTTCCTACAAGAAAAGACTAGTAATAAATACTGAAGTATAGTGTATTTTTACAGTATCCCTTACCACCATCCCAGAAAGTCTTACTAGATCTCAAAGTCAACTACTTATTGGAATAAGTAGTGCCTGCCAGTGGTGACTCAACAATCATTTCATGAAGCGTGAATATCCAAACTTCATCTCTGCTTGTCACTCTCCCAGCTCAGGAACTTACAGGAACTTCTCTAGCTTTAGTGAGTAAACTAATCTGGGCAGCAGGAGAGCCAACTCACAAGGCTTATGACCCACGCCCTCGGGCACCCTGACTAAGGCTTTTATCTCGGTCAACATAATTTCTCTAGTTACCTCTATAAATACTACCCCACAGCCTAGCTCTTGAAAGCGCTGGAAAAAGATCAGGAAAAAGGAAAAAGGAGACACCAGCACCCGTAACACACTGCATGCAGCCCCTTCTGCAGTTCTTCCTTGCCAGCACCCGAGAGAGACACTTTATTTTTGAGCTTTTTTCACTTTTCCTTGATCCTCTACTTTCTTAATGGCTGCTCGGATGGCCTCTTGGTCGCCCAGGAACTGGTGAGGCCCAACAGCACGCAGGTTCTCATCCAGCTCCAGAAGGATGGGGACGCCCGTGGGGAGGGTGATGTTGATGATGTCTTCGTCAGAGATACCTGCATGAGGAGAGGAAGGACAGGGCGTAAGGACAAGTCAGGAGGCAGCTCTGCCAGCTGTTTAATTGCATGTTTAGAATCACTTAACTGAGGGCCTCCCCGGTGGTGCAGTGAGTTGAATGCAGCACTATGAAGCTGTCTGCAGCCTCTGCAGCACGGGTTCGATTTCCGGCCAGCCAGGGAGATACCCACATGGCACGGCAGACCTCTCCTGTCTCGCCCGCTGCTCCCCTCAGTAGTGTTTTCAGTCCATCTGCCTGTTCTGCTCCCTGCTCTGTCTGGTGAATTCTCTCACCCTCCTGTGCCTCTGGCCTGTACCCCAGTTCTTGTATAAATAAAATAAATCTTTAAAAAAAAATAGGGCCTCCCCAGGTGGCGCAGCGGTTGAGCGCTGGGTTGCAAAGCTGCCCGCAGCCTCTGCAGCTCCGGTTCGATCCCCAGCCACTGGGCGAGGGTCCCACATGGCACGCAGACCTCTCTTGCTGCGCAGACCTCTCCTGCCTCCCGCCGCTCCCCTCAGTGGTGTGTTTTGTCAGTCTGCCTGTTCTGTTCCCCACTCTGGCTCTGGTGTATCCTCTCACCCTCCTGTGCTTCTGACTGTACCCAGTGCTTGTATAAATAAATAAATAAATAAATAAATCAATAAATAAATCAATAAATCTTTTTTTAAAAAAAGAATCACTTAGCTGTGAGGGATTCCAGCTAAGTTCCCAAAAGTTAAGAATGTGCTAGAAGTTTAAAAAAAAAAAATGCTTAGAGAGTCACATGCATCTGATCTTAGCACAGTGGGTATCTCTTGGAGTGACCTGTTCCTGTTTCCTATTTGAATCTTAGAGAAATGAAAATTTTTCTTTCCATGCACACAGATGTAGAAAAGCAATCAGGTTTTCCTGGGAATCACTTAATCTTGAAAAATCTGAAAGTGAACCAGGATTTTCTGGGTTTTTTTCCTTTTATATGCCATGCCCAGGTGAGCTAAAATTTGTCTCAGAATATAGCTCAATTGATTAGAATGTGGTTGGTTTTCCAATATGGAGGAGACTTGGAATGTGCTGGGGGAGATCCGGGCAAGAAGAAACAGTGCCCTAGACGTTTAGGAAGCTCCACCAAGAGGACTCGAGGCAGGGCTTAATGAACAGCCTGCCTTGCAAACAGGCTTCATTCTCTTATTGCTCCTTAACATTCCAACTTCCAGAAGACGGTACGCGTAAGAGACAAGTCTCCTTCGGTTCTTCTTTAAATACAGCTGAATGGCAGGTAGTTCAACTCTGACCAGAAGCACCAGAGGACTCCGAATTGAAGTAAGAATAGTAGCAGCAGTGGTAGTAATAACATTTTTTATCATCAGGGCTACTTTTAACAATAAACAGCTGACATGTGCTGAGCACATTCTACATGCAGGCACTCTTCGAACCACTTTCTATGTATTAACTTATTTAATCATCACTGCAATTCTATGAGGATATGAGCTATTTTCTTCCATGTAACAAGCTCTGGGCTAGAAAGTTTAAGTAAACAACTCGAGCTCACACAGCTTGTAAGTCAAACCTTGGCGTCTGTGATTACAGGAAATGTAATGCTCTCGAGTTTCTCTGAGTTCAAAACAGGCAAAGAGAAGGAGGTAAGCAAAGTGAAAAGCAATTAACATTATTCAAATTATCTAGTTTAGAAACACACCATTATCACATAAATTCTCACCACATGCTTCCCTGTATATTAACTGAAAGGAGTGAGGGGGAGCACTTGGGGTGTAATCAGGGCAGAATAGGCTATTTTCAAATGGCAAGCACAAGAGAAGGGACTCAGGAAAAGCTTTTCTAGCATGCCTTGCAAAGGGTCAATACACTTTGTCACTTTAGTCACCGTTCCTAACCGTGAGTGCCAGTGACGGGTTACAGAGTGACAGCCCTGGGCCCCGGCCACTGAGCCAGTTCTTTTTTAGAATTCTATATCCAGGCCCAGAAGAGCGATTTCAGAAGATTTTTGCACAAATTGTACCTACTCAAACAGCTACAAAGCAATGGAAAGAATCTGAACTTGGAAGTCAGTGTCTATTCCCAATGTGCTGGCCATCTCGTCCTCTGCCGGCCATACCTCAATATATGAACAATATAACTTCAGGCAAGTAACCTCTCTAGCCTCCACTGCCTCTGTCAAATTAAAAAAAGAAGAAAGAAAGAAAGTAAAGCCACCCTTCCTCTAATAGCATTACAAAGGGTGGAGGGCAGGAGGAACACACTTCCAAGACAACACATGTGAAAAAGTGTTTGTTTTTCTCTATTTCGAATTCTTTACTAGGTAGAAGAGTCAAAGAGCAGGCTACTAAAACACTATTTTGTCCTGCCATGCTCCCATCCCCAGACTGCAACCCTATACAAGATCACGATCCAAACTACAGCTGGCAAGAGCAGATAAATTCAGACCAGACAGCCAGCTTTCGGCTGGGAGGGAACTTGGATTCTAAGAGCCCTCTGGCTCCACCAGGTCAGCTCTGTCGGCTGGCTGCACAGCAGCTGCCACAGGCATTCCTTGCCAAGGGAATGTCCTGGAGACAAGAGGGGGCCCCAATAGCCGGTGGTTTAGGGCATGGTCTGCAGAACTCAGTCATTCTTATCTCAAATCTAGGGGACGTTATGGAGGTCCCCAGGTCCGACTTCCATGTGCAAAGTACTCTGTGAAGGACACATGTGACCGTAGTCAGGATTTTACCTCCACTGAACTATACTTTCGTTTACAGAAGTTCCTCTGTTTTATCCTAAATGCCTAAGGAAAGCAGAAGCCCTTCATGAGAGGCCTGAGAAACACGGGGACACCAACCACTGTTAACGTCCATCTGCCATGCAAGGACCGTGCTTTATCTGTCCCCAAAGTCTGTGAGCACACAACTCACTGAATTATAGGATAATACGGATTTAGATTGATCCAATTAATCTATAAAAACCAATTTGTCAGACCAGCAGTTAGCAAAGTTGACCATGTTTGACAAATGTTTACCAGAAGAAATAGAAAAAGATGAGCGTACAAATCTGTGAGTATCACGAATCTACTAGCATCTCAGATTCACTGGTCTTATGTGCTTTCGCATCACCAAAGATTAATCTTTATGAAAGTTCTTGGACCTAGAATTTTACTTTTAGATGACTAAATATTTCACTTTTATTCAATACTGTACTGGAGATGTAGCTAGGACACCAGGCAAAAAATGAAAGAAAAAGGACCTAGTTTAAAAAGGAAAAAGTAAAACTATCTCTATTAGCAGATGACATAATCCCACTAAAATAGTATTGGAGCTAATAAATTCAGCAGCGTTTCAAGATACAAGATCAATATATAAACATCAATTGTATTTCTATACTGCAGCAATGAGCACATCAAAAGTGAAAGGACGAAAATAATTCCATTTACAATAGCATCAAAAAGAATAAAATATGTAAAAAAAAATTTAACCAAAGAAGTATAGAACTTATACTATAAAACACAGCTAAGAAAATTAAAAGAAAAAATAAATGGAAAGACATCTCATTGTCATGGAATTGGAAGATTTAATATTATTAAGATGGTAATAGACAATTATGTGCAGGAAGAATAGTCTTTTCACATGCAAAAGAACTGGACCCCTACTTCATAACCATATATAAAAATGAATTCAAAATGGATCAAAGACTTAGATGTAAGAGTTAAAACTGTAAAACTCTTAGAAGAAAACATAGCAGTAAAATCTTCATGACTTATTAAGCAGTGGTTTCTTAGACATGACACCAAATATACCAAATGAAAGAAAAAAGCAATAAAAGAAAAAAGATAAACTGGGCATATAAACATTTAAAATTTTTGTGCTTCAAGAAAGTGAAAAGACAACACACAGAATGGGAGAAAATTTTTGCAAATCATGTACCTGATAAGCAACTTGTATCTAGAATAAAGAACAATTATACTTCAATAATAAAAGCCAAATGACCAAATTTTAAAAATGGACAAAATATCTGAACAGATATTTTCCCAACATTATTAGCCATCAGGGAAATAGAAACTAAAACCACAATGAGATACTATTTCATTTCCACCAGGATAGATATAATCAAAAAGTCAGATTATAAATAAATATGGGTGAGCATATAGAGAACTGGAATTCTCACACATTATAAAATGTAGAGTATAAAATGCTGTGGACTCCTTTGGAAAGCAGTCCAGTGATTCTGCAAACAGGTTAAGCATAGAGTTACACATGACCTAGCAATTTCATTCCTAGGTATAAACCCAAGAGAGGCAAAAGCATATGCCCTCACATAAACCTTCACAGAAGCATTATTGCTAAGAGCCCAAAAGTAGAAACAATCTAAATTGAGTCAACACTACATTCTATAATACCATATTACAAATTTATTCATGGAACATCATATAGAGGTTAGAACGTGAGGCTTGATAGCACATCTCAGATCTGATGAGCTTAGATTTTTTTATACAGTGTCCAAGAAGGTTCTGAAGGGAAACAGCTGACCCCCACATCTGCTTCTCTTCATCTCTCCCCCTTTTTAAATTCTTGAATCCTCAAGTAGGAGCATCCAGGCATTAACTGCAATCAATTTAAGTGGTTGGTAAGAAATTGCAAAAGTTTAGGGGTAAGTCCAAGGGGTAACTCAAGACCAGAATGAGGAGAAATTCAAACATTTTCTGCACATAGGGCCAACTTCAGAAATTCAAGTCTGCACCTCCATGCCCCCACCCCCGAGTCACTGCAGCAGGAATGGGAACCAAAGACAGTTATGAAGGTCACTGTATATCGATGACCGTTCTCACACTCGGCCTTCCATGCACCCGCTCACCTCTCCCACCAGGACCATGAAGTCTAGCAGGTCAGGGACCCTGTCTTCTCGCCACGTAACGCCCGTGGCTCCTGGAGCAGCGCTGACCCACTGGAAGGGGCACAAGCAGTTATGTGCTCGCTGCTGGGATCCAGAAATTACTTAGTTGTGTGACCCTCTAGTCATCAACTCTTTATG